AAATTCCTGCGGTCTGTAGTAACTATATTTGTTAAGATTATGATCCAGTCAAATGAGGTCATACCATATTTCCAAAATATTAAGTCGTTCAGAAGTAGGATGTAGAACTCCATTCATTTCATTGAACTAGATCCGATGAGACAAAGAGAGTAAAGTTGTAAATTTTGTCTGTGAAGTCCATGGTCAAGTCTTTTTGAACCAAAGGTACGTAACTCCCATGTTACTGTGACGTCACTCAATAAGGGGGAAGTTGATAAGAAAATAAAAATGGCGGAGGCTATCGTTGTCGAGAGACCGCAGATTGATCGGTTTTATTGTCATTCCTGTACGAAAGAAATTACACCTGATCTTCCAGTAAGTGAGACGAAAAACTGACCTGTATATATAGTATATTTTTCAGAATTCTTTCTTGTTTTCATGCCCAAAATTTAAAGTAGAAAACAAATTGTCAAAGCCAATAAATTTCATTATCAGATTCCCTTGATCGTTTTCTGGAAAATTACGTACACATCATCTGTATATTGTTCATATGTTTTAGTTTCTGGGTCATCTTTAGATTTTAGTTTAAGAAACGGCTTAGTAAAGTTCACAGCTTTAATTTCTGGAAACAATAACTTCTTACAAATTAAATACCTTAAAACATTACACAACATAATTATATAGCTAATTTATAAGTTTAAGGCCAAATGGGTATTCCAAGTCTACATAATTAATATTAAAAGACTAAAGGTGTTTTTATTTAAGCAGATCATATTGACACAAGTCAATGTGTGCATTATACAAGCGAAATCTTTGGTTTGTTTGAGATTAAAGATGGCGGGCAACATTGACAAGGAAAAACATTTCGAGAATTCATTCTAAGATTACAGGAATAAAGACAAAAATATTATTTTTACCAACGTTTGAAATTTTGTAACAAAAAAGAGAAAGATCTGAGTAAATTATATTCCATTGGCAGAATTAACTGTTCAATAATGTATGTATTGGAATTATTTAGACGTAAACATGCCACTTGGTTATGCCGATGGTTATTTATTTAAGGCGATTTGATTGTACATTGTGCTGATAATCGGCCATCAAAGCGAGTTGATACAATTTGCTTAAAGATGGAGTCTTTCATTTTTGTTTCTAATCCATTGTTGTGTGTCAAACACTTATATAAATCGATTGGCCTGTTATCCTAACGACTTCCGAGTACAAGAATTAATCTGTGCGGTCCCTAATTAACGCTTAATTAGCTTATTACCGTGGGAATCCCCGTGTTTACATTTCCAATAGTCCCGATTTCCAATGTTAAATTTGATTGGCTATTATTTTTTAAAAGAATCAGAAAAGTCAATCATAACACAGAAAATTCTAATGCCAGTGCAAAATATGTTTCCATTTGTTCAAGATGAATAATTGTAATCATTTTAAGTATATTCTTACTTACCATATTGCTTTTCTCCTCTGCTGGACTAAATATTTCGAATTACGAAAATGTGGATAAACTCTTCAATTTAAATCAGAAAATATCATGTCACATGATCTCTAGCTGTGACGCCATTACCTCATTCCTGAATCTAGATAGACCAAGGGCTTCCCTGAGCTTGACGAAGCCTTTGTTTGGTTGATTGACAAACTAATGTTTGGATTAACCACTAGAAAGGCCAATTAATCTATGGATAAGCTCTTTTAATCTCTTTTGGACTACTTTTAATCAAGAAAATATGATAATATGTCATACAATATAATGTCCTATTTTAGTTTATTCATCATCAATTCTTCTAAATGAAAAAGTAAGCTCACTATTATCTATAAATAGTTTTCTAAGTTTGGCATACCGTAGGCTCTATGATAACGTATAACTAAATAACAAGATTAGGCCATAGATCAAGATTTTCCCTTATGATATATGGTAATACATACCATCAAAAGACACAGTTGAAAAGCTTTAGAATATATAGATGTGCTTAACAAACTGTACTATACTGTCAAGTATTGATCCAGAAACAATGATTTGATTCACTATCTCACAGTGCCAGTTGTAGAGCTTTTGCCAAAAGCTTTCTTATTTCACAGATTCACAACTAAATATTTCTGATTTTTACCAAATAAAATTTTAGTATCGGTATCTTTAATCTCATTGTAATAATTCTTGCTATTTTTTACGCTTTTTTAGGATTTTACCTGTCCACAGTGTGATGATGGATTTGTAGAACAGATCAGTAGCGAGTAAGTCTTTATTATCGATATCGTGGGTGACCGCTTGAAACCTTGTTTAACGGTATATGATGCGAAATTACTTTTAGAGAAAAACGCAAAAAACTATTTGAACTGGTATTTTGTTAAAATCTTTTTTACCATTTCTTTTACCGCTATACGTGGTTTTTATTCTTCGGAAATTTAAACCTCGTAAAACACTTTAAGTTATTTGACCTATTCAACCACAAGCTCATATAACAGTTAGTTTTCATTCTTCCAGAAAAAGGAACATTGAACCTCGTATAATATAATATTTTCCGCGCTTTTAAGAGCTTTCAAATGGTACCAAATTGTCAAATAGACCAAATATGGCATATATGAGTTTTCAAGCGGTCACCCACGATATGTAAATTGTTTGTTTATGAATTTGATATCTATAGGCTTTCATTCTTCTACAATGTTAAAATGTTACCTTTTTGATATTTTTCAAGATCAACTTCTGATTTTTTGTCAAGATCAACTTCTGATATAAATGTGATGTGGTAAATGAATATAATCTTAGTTTTATTTAATGCCCACATGAAATGAAGTGTGTATATTGCTGAAACCCATGTCCGTCAGTCTACAATTGCTTGTACACACTCTACAAGACACAATTCTTGACGAATTTTGAGGAAGCTTGGTGTGAGTGATCATTATCACCCAAGGATGAACCCTATTGAAAATCAGAAAAATTGAAACATATTTAGTATGAGTTATTGTCCCTGTTCTTGAGAACTCTTTCAATTTTTATAACGTAAACACACTAGAAGACACACAACTCTTGCCCGATTTTGACGCAAGTGTTGGTGTGAGTGTTAACACCCAAGGAAGAACCCTATCAAAAATCTAAAAATGTTTCATAGGAGTTAAAAACGCTTTCAAATTTGCCTTCTAGAGTTTTCACTAGCTAAAAATTGAACACGTTTTCAAGAACAAGGGCAATAACTCATACTCAGTATTATTCAGTATTGCCCTAAAGAGTTCAAAAGAAGTGTAAGGTTGAATATTTCATACTGGTGATTGTTACTGTATTGCTAAATATTTTAATTCAAAATCAAAGCTGCCAGTGGGCGTATATTACCCTGCCTGTCAAGCTATCTTTAATATTTCTTCTCCCAACAGATAAAGGGCAGTTTCAATTAACTTTCCATCACAATTTGAACACAAAAGAAAAAAAGAACTCTTTACAAGAATGAAAGAACTCTTTACAAGAATGATTGTAGTGTTAGACAACTAAACATTGAAGAATATATACAGATATTACCTGGACATATTTTTGTAACAAAAAAATTCTTTTGAAAATGTAGTATGAGTATCATATTGTCAACTAGATGCTTTTGTTGTTTTTCGATTGATACATACAGTTACTGTTACAGATCAATTGAATGTGATGCCAAAGAGTTGGCTCTAAATATGTTTTGAATATTAATATTTTAGGGAAGAAAGTGCTCCAGAGTCACCTGTAGAGTTAAATGCATTTCCAGCCAATGTAAGTTTTTTAATAACATTAAGTAAAATTTTCTAGACATGCTCAGCATTGTGGCATCTTGACATGAGTATTTTTATGTAGAAAATAATAAGAAGCATGTCAAGCCCTGTTAAGAGATATTTTGCTGATAACCTTTAAGAATCCATCTCACCGTGCCTATTGTCCGCCAAGTGCAAGTCTCATAATGTATAGTAACTTCCTGATTGGAGGATTGAATCGCTGAAAATGTATAGATAAACAGGAGATTAAGAATTATGTGGGCAATATTGGGTCAGGAGGATATTGGTATATCACTGAGCCCTGAAAGATTTTATTTATAAACATGCATAATTCATAACAAGAGTTATAAATATCAGTAGGTCTTATGGTACATCAAATGTATCTTTCAATTTTCTTATATTTTATTTTCCTGCATTTTAATGTGTGATTTTAATATTTTAGCCCATATTTCAAAGTTTTATTGAACATGTGTTAAATCCGTCCGCTTCAACTATAACACTAAGCTCACCATCAATGGGAACACGTAGCAGACGACATCAGCAACAACATCAGAATCAGGAAAGGTAATTTTATGTAAAATTCATCATAGAGTATATTTGACTGTAAAAAATGAATAAATGAGCCAAGTATGTCGGTTAACTTATTTGACTTTATTCTTGGCAGCATTCACTTTGAAAATCAATTGTCTTTAATAAATTCAAACCAATATGTTTCTTTTAGATAGGTCTGTTGCGTAGGTGTATATCATCTAGCACTTATGATAATATGAGGAACCAGCATGATACACAGAATTTTCATGTTTAATGAGTTGCCTTTTTTCACTATAAAAATTATTTTTTTAAAATTTTTAATGGTACCAACTTTTAATTTGATTTATTTTCTTTTTCATAGTTTCAGAATAGGAAATTTGATGAGTCTTATTGCACAGGATCGATTTGGGTAAGATTGTTGTCATATAAGAGTTTATACTGCTATAAATGAGTTAACTTACAGGATCAGTCTGATTATTAGGTCAGAAAATTTAGATGCCCAAATCAAAGAAAACTATCGACCAAAATCAAGTAATGTGTCCCTTACTTATAAAACACAAAAATTATCTAAAAAAGGTCTACATAAACAATTTACAGGCTTTTATGCTTTGTGGTTGTTGATGGAAAATTAATGTAGTATTTAAGGAATTTTACAAATTGCAGAAAAATACGTCTCCGACCTAAGACCTGTCAAATGTCAATCGATAAATGATTCAGAAGCATCTAATAGACTATTTTTTATTTTCAGCGGTGGAATGTTTCAGTTACATGGAAGTCCAGGAGATTATGCATGGGGAGCTCATGGTTTTGATTCTATTATATCACAGGTAAGCTGATTAATCTTTACTCTTATTATTTAAAAGGGATTATACAACATTGAATATTAACAGCAAAAATAAATTTGATCCTTTTGATTTGTAAATAATCCTATTCAAGATATGTAACAGGTGATTGAACACTTTCATCAGTGGATATTGACAAAGTTATACAATTTATCACAACTTAGTTTTAGAAATTAACTAGAAATGACCCAAATAATTTTTTTAACACAATTTTGAATATGAATTGAAAACTATTTGGTTGGAATATTTCATTGTCTCTAATATCTTTAGTGAGTCTGTTTTGTGTGTCGTATAAACTTATTTTAAAAGTAACCGCAAATTGGATTTCCATACTAGCATCTCTTCCATAAAGAAACATGTTCCTCTCTCCAATTATGTTCTGATAAAAGTCCTATTTAAACATTAACTGTGTCTAAGATTGGACTTGCATGCTAGTGTTTCTTTAATGTATTATATCTTCCTTGAGTTTGGCTCTGGACAATCTTCCATATTGTGATTTTCAGGTGTTAAGGTAATAGGTGCAAAAGGTCATGACATCTGTAATATCCTAAATCTTGGAGAAGGTCATGAAATATCTGACCTATTATACAGAGGCTTCAGTCAATATCGATTGAATATGGACTTCATATTTGATCTTCGCTCTATTGTAATTTGGAAATTTATTCACTGCATAAAATGTATACAAAAATTCAATATGCCTTATCTGTTTAGGAATTAGTGAAAATGAGGAACAATAGAACAGGAGTATAAACGATTAGTAATAGTTTTGATGTATTGCTTACTGAAATTCAAATACTTGTGTTAAAAGTATTCAATAGAAGTTTTGACAAATCTGTGATGTTAAGGACATTTTCAAGCAAGTGTGGTGTTCAGATGGATTACAGAACATATTATCTGTTTTTAACATCCATTGACATGTGAAATGCCTATTCAGAATTAAATCACAATATATTTCTTAATTATTTATGGATGATTTTGTCTCTGTATTTTTTTTGTTTAGCTTTTGAATCAGTTAGAAGGTTCTGGTGCACCTCCTGCCCCTGAAGAAAAAATAGAAAATCTGCCCAAAGTTAAAATAAACCAAGAACAAGTTGGTAAGTTGAATTATTTAATGAATTACCAAATGGATTGATACTGTATTATGTTCTGGCTTAAATAATAAGCACCATGATTGGTTATAAATATTGTTCTATTTTCAGAAAGAACTTTACAATGCTCAGTTTGTTTTGATGATTATTCATTAGGAGAAGAAGTAAATAAATTACCTTGTGAACACCATTATCATCCACAATGTATTATACCTTGGTTAAAATTAGTAAGTATTTTTTCAATGTATCAGCATTAACTAGTTTCAATGGATATGTATATTTGACTAAATTATTCACCGCTATAGGGGGTTACTATTACTTTTTTACACGTACGTATGGGCGTATATTGTGGTTGCCCCTGTCAGTTCGTCCTTCAGTCTGTTGGTCTGTACGTTCACATTTACCTCGTGCTCACTCTACAGGCTACAATTTTCTATAAATTCTTTTGATCTTTTGTATGTGTGTCAATATCATGAAGTTGTGCACTATTGAATTTGGTGATGATCCAATGATTTTCTTCAGAGATATCTCATAAAACTCTGATTTTGCGTGTTCGTTTTTCTTTACTTTTTTTCCTTGTGCTCACTCCACAGGCTACGATTCTCCATACATTCTTTTGGTCTTTTGTGTGTGTGTCAATATCATTATGAAGATGTGCACTATTCAATTTGGTGATCATCCGATGATTTTCTTAAGAGGTGTCGCATAAAACTATGATATCGCATTCGTTTTTTTCTCTTATTTTGCTCGTGCCCACCCTAAAGACTACAATTCTCCAAGGATTCTTTTGATTGTTTGTATGTGTGTCAATATCATTATGAAGATGTGCACTATTGAATTTGGTGAGGATCCGATGATTTTCTTGAGAGATATCGCATAAAACTCTGATATCGCGTTTTTTCACTTTTTTGGCTCGTGCTGACTCTACAGGCTACGATATAGAGTTTGTTTTACAGTTCACTTGCTCTTTATCAAGCTGCTTGTGGGCGTTTTCGCTTGCGAGACTTGCCGCAAGCCTATGTTTATGTATAAAAATCTATTTCATCATTAGTTTACAATGCAATATGCAAAAATGCCAATGCTTATATACATTTCTATATCTTTCAGCATGGCACATGTCCTATTTGTCGTAAAGATTTAAATGGTGAAGTTGTTGAAATAAAAGATAATGATATGCCACCAGATTCACCTTTTTGAATTGTGTTTTTCTAATTGACTCTTTGTGATATAAACTGAAATATACAAACTATCAGTGTAAATATGGCTGGAAAACTTGTGGTGAAAATTTAGTAGAAGCCAGCTAGTTTTCTTATATAAAGAAAACCTGTTATATATTTTATTTATCAGTAAAATTAGTCTTATACCACCCTCCATAAACAGCACCATACAATATCAACTGAAACTGTGAGTTTGGAATGTCTAAAAAGGGTATACTTTGACTAAAATATGTTGTACTAAAGTTATTGCTATCAGTAAACAGGTAAATGCTTGAGTATTTCGACACACAAAATGCCATATTATAATTATCTTTTGTTATATTTTTTTTTTATGTATTATAGTTTATATAACACGACTGGCAATATCTTCTCATAGTATATATTTCCGAATGATAATCTGAATTTTAATTTGATTCTCGGTGGAAATAACAAAAAATGTATATAATTTAAACTCAAAACAAAATGTTATTATTCAGTACCAAGCAAAATAATATAAACTTCAATATGTTTTTAAAATATGTTTTGCAAATTCAACAAAAGTGAAAAAATGAAAAATAAATTAACCTGTGTGTTTAACAAAAGGGTGAAAACTGTTCTGAATAAAAGAGTGTTTTGATAGATATTATTTCTGTTATTTTTATGTGTGTAAAATTATTCTATATCAGTAGTTTTGACATGGTTGATGTTAAATGTATATAAAAAAGTGAAATATATTTTGCAAATAACATTTTGAAAGATTGATCAAAAATATTTTTCAATTTATAATGATTTGTTATGGTTTTATAAAGAAAGTAAATAAGAAGTTTAATATTAAATATTCAATAGATCTTAGAGTTTATCTATTATTATTATTTGAAAATTGTATATTTATACTACATATAAGGCTTTTCTCAAGAGTCATTTATCCTTTATGAGTAGCTTTGGGTTAAGTCAAAGCACTATATATATTTAGATCTTAGGGTGAAGTGAAAATTTGATTAGAAAATCACTACTCTTGTACATTTTCTGACAACTGGAATTTATTGAATTTTTTTTCTAGAATGATGCTCCTTTTGTTGTTCTGTTATACTGGTTGAAAATAAGAGTACCAGTTTCACAAACCCTATTATACAATATAGCAACCCCTGTCTCTAGCCCTAAAGTTTGAAAGGACTTCAGTTCATTTCATTTTGAGAATGAAACTGGAAATTTTTTTTTGAATTGTAAATTTTTGTGTACATTTTCTAGTGTATTTTAAAAGTTTTTTTATTTTTTTTTTTAGATATAATGCGTTTATACCAAAATTAATTTTCAGTTCTAGGTCATGCAGACATAGACAGAACCGGCTTTTATTTTTGATTTTAACACCAATATTCTATCTTTCTGTGTATATCAACAGAGATAAAATTATAAATAATGATTTATTTAATCTTTATTTAAATCCACCATAGATCTTTAAATGATTATTTTTATTGGTTCTATCAGACATGTATGGTTTGAACTTCTTCAGGGATGTTGATATGGCTGTAAATTGCAATTATATCTAATACTTAATGTTTGACTGACTTTTATCTCACAGTTGGAAATTACTAAATTCATCTTCAGAGTTTGTCTTGTGTGTTTGGCTTTAATATTTATATATTATAATTATCAATATTAAGACAGAATCTGAAACATGTTATATTTCAATGTCTGTATCCTCTTCAGTTGATGTTATGAGCACACATTTTAACAGTGAAAATATTTTGTTATTGTAAATTTGTAATGTATATAAACAAACTTTACTTTTTGAACAACACCTCTGGAAATGGAAGAGTTCAAGTATAAATATCTTTAGAGAAGTGGATTAATGTTGAGGTTACTTTCAATATTAAACAAGTATTTGGTCTAAATAGTAATGTGGATTGCATCAGTCTGTGCATTTATTTTTGAAACACTGAATGTTTCAATTTGTTCCAGCCTCTATTCTGCTTCACTACAGAATACGTTACAATAAAAAATGTAGCATATTTGAAGCATTTTTTTATCATGTCTTTGTAAGCCACAATATTTGATAACATATCAGTTTCTAAAAATACCTGAAATTTTACGCATGATAGAGGTTAAGTTAATTGATACCGAAAACAAGAGTTGCTGCCCTTTACATTGCAAGCGATGTCTTCTAAATAATGACCTAAATAATGATATATCCTTGCTATCATTTATATCATTGGACTTTCGGTTTTCAGTTAAATTGTCCCACCCAAACCTTTGGGTTTTCCTTTTGATTGAAAACACATTCAATTCAATTTCGATGAATTAAGGCCTGGAAATTTCCTTACAGCCCAAAATGCTGCGGTTTTTTGAACTTTTAACATTTGAGTTTTATTGCTTACTCATTTTTATACGCCCACGTAAACACTCTAGAATTCATGACGGACTTTGATGAAATTTGGTATGAGTGTTCGTTATCGCCCAAGGATAAACCCTATCGAAAATCAGAAAAACTGCAAAAATATTTAGTATGAGTTATTGCCCTTGTTCTTGAAACGCGTTCAATTTTAGCTTGTAAACACTCAAGAAGGCACAATTCTTGATGGATTTTGACGAAACTTGGTGTGAGTGTTTGTAATCACTCAAGGATAAACCCTAACGAAAATCGGAAAAATTGAAAAATATTTAGTATTAGTTATTGCACTTGTTCTTGAAAACGCGTTCAATTTTTAGTTCGTAAACACTCAAGAAGGCACAATTCTTGACGGATTTTGACGAAACTTGGCATGAGTGTTGGTTATCGCCCAAGGATAAACCCTATCGAAAATCAGAAAAACTGAAAAATATTTAGTATGAGTTATTGCCCTTATTCTTGAAAACGCGATCAATTTGTAGTTTGTAAACACTCTAGAAGACACAATTCTTGACGGATTTTTAACGAAATTTGGCTTGAGTGTTTGTTATCACCCATGGATAAAGCCTATTGAAAAGGGGAAAATCGAAAAAATATTTAGTATGAGTTATTGCCCTTGATCTTGAAAACTCGTTCAATTTGTAGCTCATAAAAACTCTAGAAGGCATGATTCTTGCCGAATTTTGAAAAAATTGGTTTATTATTCATTACCGCTATGAAGATTGAATATTTGTCTTCTAGAGTTTTCACGAGCTAAAGATTGAACACGTTTTCAATAACTCATACTCAATATTACTCAGTATCTCCCTAAAGAGTTTAAAAGAAGTGTATGACTTAAGGTTGAATATTTCATACTAGTGATTGTTACTGTACTGCTAAATATTTATGTTCAAAATCAAAGCTGCCAGTGGGCGTATATTACCTTGCCTGGCAAGCTATCTTTGATATGCTGTATGACATTACAAAGTATCAAAAAATTTAACTTCAAAGACATTCTTAAATATTTAAGTGATTTATTCAAAAAAAAAATCACCAGTGAAATATTTCAATTATGGATAGTCACAAAATATTATTACACTCATAAATGTATTATGTTATTTAATGAGGCACTTTTTTGGTTAAATTAAACAAATTTTTGAAACACGACCACAGGTTTATTTGAATCAGTTTAAGGATGGTTAGCTGTATAAAACGGTTAAAGACGTATTTTATTGCCATTATATTTACGTAGATTGTTTTACTACTGAACAATATTGAAGCCTAACATGATGGATTGTATTTATCATATAAACAATGTGATATCATCCAAAACAGTATCATATTATAAGTGTTAATAAAGTTTCTAATTGTCGTAGATGTTGCCATGTGAACCAATTTGGAAAATAAGTTTTCATTTAATTACAATTAATTACACTTTTTTTTACCAATAATTTTTTTTTTATATAATATAAATTAACTGAGAGTGGTTAATTCCAATGACACTATGAAATTGTGATCGCGCCATGCGTTTTGCGACTGCTAACTTTGAAGGTTGATATTAAGGTTGAATATTCAAAATCAATATCATGTACTTCCCCTCGAGTTGTTATTATCTTTAAAACAATTTTCCTTGTAAAATCGTTAAAGATGTTGGTTTAAATATCATAGACACGTATTTTATCATATATATTAATACAGGTAATAAGAAAGTTTCTAATAAGATTTGACATTTGTGTGTATTGTTTTGAATCAATGTAGTTAAAATGCAAATACACCTTTAACAAATATACATACTAGGAAATGCACATTATGAGTACCATAGTAAAATATGTAAAGTTAAAGGACGAAGTCAAGACATTTCAGTCTAGTACAAGCGTTGGAAAAATTGTATTCGTTTGTAAAATTGTAACATAACATAAAATAAACATGAGCATCAAAAGCATCTCCAGGCGAAATTTTGATTTTTTTCACCTTAAAGATACTTTTAATTTTCATACCCAGTACATTATAAAGCAACCAAGTTTTTTAGTGATTTCCGCAGTTTCAACTTCCCGAAGACGCAAAAAATTGCTAACAGTGGCATATTGGAAAAGTTAAGTTAACTAATCGCACTATAAGATAACTATTTTGTTTTTATTTCGTTCGATTGTTTCTGGTTGACCCGTTAATATTGGTTTAGTTGACTAAAATCCGTGGAAAGATATTTTGGGTCATGTCATTACAGACAGTTTCCCATTAAGAAAAAAAGAACTTTAAATTGACATTGATGTAGGTACATAGGTACACGTAACACATGAAAGGATGATTGTGAAATATTTACATGATGAAACGAAACATATATGAGCTGGTAAAAATATCAAATGGAAATTCGCTATGATATATGAACAGTAATTTTGAAATAAAAACAATAATATACATGTACATGTACTTTTATTGTAGTTTTTCTGAAGTTTTTTGTTTTAGTGAGTGAGTTTAATATAGTGCGTCTGTTTTGGGCTTTTTTTTTTTAAATTTTAATTGTTCTGGGTGCTTATTCTCTAAAACTTAACTTAAGATGATTTTAGTGTTCCAGTCATCTGATTGGTTTTGTTATCCAATCAGATTACTGTATTTCTTAAAATCTGGATTTTATTTAA